TGAAGGAAACTACCAGTTGTGGGATGACAAGCTGAAGAAGTACATTGATGACCTTAAAGACCCTGGTCCGAGTGGCAAGCCCTACTCCGCTAGATACATTGGAAGCTTGGTCGGTGATTTCCACCGTACGCTGCTGTACGGTGGCATTTATGGGTACCCCAGGGACAAGAAGAGCAAGAATGGGAAGCTGAGGCTTCTGTATGAGTGTGCACCGATGAGCTTTATAGTGGAACAAGCTGGTGGGAAAGGATCAGACGGGCATCAGAGAGTACTGGATATCACACCTAATGAGGTCAGTCTAATATGCTTCATTCAACTCGTGAAATCTTCTTTTCTTCTTTGAGTTAAGAACTAAGGCATTGTTTTTTACAACAGATACACCAGCGTGTTCCGCTTTACATAGGGAGCGTGGAGGAAGTGGAGAAATTGGAGAAGTATTTGGCTTGATTAAAATGTAAGAGGAAAGATTCATTTTGTTTTGAGAAGCTAAATGTTTGCATGGGCCATGACAATTCCTCATAAATACACTACTGGAATTAAGAACACAGAATATCGTTTGTGTATGACTGTCAAATCGTTTTTTTAGAAGCAATGGAAGATTGAAACCTGATGCTAAGAACCTATCAGGAAACCATTGCAGCAGGACCTCCAGGAAGAACATGAATTTTGTTTTGTCACTGAGAATTGAGTTTCAATTTTTGAAGAACTGTTGCTGCTATAGCCCAGCTGTGCATCAATGATGTCGGCAGCTGAACATAGCCATAGAGCAGGCAATTTCATCTTCAAATATTAATAGCACTGAACTTTTTCTTTAAAAAAAATTGTGGATTTCCTCCTAACATGAACTCCAAGTCCATCAATAAAAGAAAAGGAAAAATTACGCTTGCGGAGATTGTGATTCATGGAATGACTTGGGATGTTATAAGAAGACAGACACTCCCAAACACCAAACGAGATCAGGTTGTTGAAAGGCTTATCATAAGGTCTGAGGAATTTCCTAGGAAATTCAAGATGAGATTGATCGTCAAGGAATTCTCGGTAAGCCACGTTTGCAAGTTTTAGCAATCAAGTTCAGAAGGGGAAAAAAAACCCAACAGGTTTATACTGTATGATTGGACATGAACTTGATTAGAAGATTTAGTACCATAAAATATTTTCTGTAAAATAACTTCATTTCATGCGGGAGCAGGGCCCGTTATGTCGAAGCCTGAAGACAGCTTCAATACCAAGTGGGCTCATAAGTCGAACAAAGTTATAGTTTCACCTAGAATGAATCCCAATCACACAATAGGCGCAGGAAGGAAGATAAGTGAGAACCCTGGAACACACAGACACCCAACAATCGCAACAATGTTTGAGGCAATTCAGCCTTCCTCTTCACAAATCACCTTCTCAACCTCTCGCTCTTCCATTATTTCTCACCTGTTTCCTATAAAGAACCGCTCTCATCATATTAGACAATCATTAGGTAGGCGTTTTGCCTCCGGAATTCGATGCAAAGTTGTGGAAATTACAGCAGCAGAATCAGGCATTAAAGAAGAGAAAAGAAAGAAGGACCGGTATGCGCTCGAAAACTTGACAACTTGGCTATTGAAGCAACAACAAGCAGGGAACATTGATGCAGAGCTCACAGTGGTCTTATCCGGTATCTCATTGGCATGTAAACAGATTGCTTCCCTTCTTCAACGATCGAGCATAATCAATCTCACTGGCGTTCAAGGAACCACCAACATCCAAGGTGAAGATCAGAAGAAGCTGGATGTCATCTCCAATGAGGTTGGTTCTACTTTGATTTCATCGATAAGTTTGTTACTTGTGAGTTAACATTTTGTTAGTGAAAATTACCATAGCTTACATTTTACTACGTCTAGCTGTTTTGCAATTGTTTAAGGTCAAGTGGCCGCACAGCGATTATAGTATCAGAGGAAGAAGACGTACCTGTTGCTGTCGAGGAAACTTACTCTGGGAACTATATTGTGGTGTTTGATCCAATTGATGGGTCTGCCAACATTGATATAGCATTAACCACTGGATCTGTCTTTGGAATTTATGGCCCTGACGAGCAATGCCTCTTTAATATTGACGATGACTCCACAGTAAGTCATCTGGTTTCTCACTTTCTGGCCAAGAAAAACAAGCGGCAGTTCTCAAAATGCAAACCCTTTACCTCTGTGCTGAATAGCCAATTCAAGGCACTTGCAAATTTACATTAATTTTAGCTCTCATCACATCTTTCATCTCTTACACGACAGCTTGACGAAGAAAGACAAAGGTGCATCATCAACGCTTGCCAGCCAGGCAGAAGCTTGCTGCTGGCTATTGCCTCTATTCAAGCTCGGTCGTCTTCACAATATCTATAGAGAAAGGGGTGTTTTCTTTTACCTTGGATCCCGCATTCGGGGAGTTTGTACTAACACATGAAGATATCAAAATCCCGAAAACAGGAAAGATTTACTCGTTTAATGAAGGAAATTATGACCTGTGGGAAGGTAAACTGCAGAGCTACCTTGGCTACCTTAGGCAGCCAGGGCCACCCAACGGGAAGCCTTACTCTGGACGTTATATAGGCTGCCTTGTTGGGGAAATACATAGGATGCTTCTGTATGGTGGCATATATGGAAACCCAAAGAACAAGAACAGAAAAAATGGGAACTTAAGGTTACTATATGAATGCGCACCAATGAGTTATCTCGTGGAACAAGCTGGTGGCAAAGCAACGGATGGTCACCAGAGAATCCTTGACATCAAGCCAGAACAGGTATTGATTTCGTTGCAGCTTCACCACTTCATCTTAGATTGGAATTTTATCAACCTTGACCCTATAAAAAATTGTGTGGAGATAGAACCATGGCACTCCCAATCAGAGTGCTAGAATCGGAAACTGCGACTTGAATCACATATTTGGTTTGACTTTGAGCATCAAACAACTGCTGACACTTTGGTTTGAATTTGTGATTTTGTGGCAGATACAACAGCGCACACCTATTTTCATTGGAAGCCCAGATGAAGTGGACAAACTTCACCAGTACCTGGCCTGAGCTTAGATATCTTTATTCTGTCATTTATCCTCCATCTTTCAGCATGCTTAAATACTAATGGCATTTGAATTAAGAACTCTTGCAGATATTCAACTGTTCATAGAGTTGATAAGATTAATCCCATCTAAAATCAATGTAAAGAAGAATTCGTCACTTCTTTTTATCAGAAATAAATCAGCTTTTGATACAACTAAATTGTGTAGCATAGAAATGCTTGTAACCATGAGTCTTGGCTAAATGACCAATATTGTAGGCAGAACATCAAACTAAAGACTACATGTGAGCTAAGAATTCAAGGGTTGGTCAAATGATAGACAAAAGCCATAGAGGATCTAGAAATTATAAACCTAGATAACTAGCGAAGATGGATAATGTATCTTCTGCAGTATGTGCTATACAGGTACCAGGTCAGTCTAAAGAGTCTTTTGCATCATCATGTCAGTCAGTTACTTGCCAAACAATTCTCCTGATCCAAAGAACTCCTTTAATTTTTAGCTGCAATTCGAGATACAGCCAAATAATTCAAGGATCCTAGAAATAGGAAAGGTGACATAAAAAATGAAATTTGTGGCGTCAAGTGATAAATTTACCAGGGCTTAAAATTCTTATACATTTTGTTACGGACTTCACAGCTGTTATGTCAGGACCTGAAAACAAATCACTCAATATATGCACGATAATGGATAGATTAGGAGCAATTATGTTGAGGAGCTTCATTCACATTACCTTGCGAATGCGCATCTTTTCCAGAAATCACCTCAGTCATGGTAGAGGAAAACTCTGATATGACTTGATCAGTCCCAAAATTACCATCCCTAGATTCATGCGATGACCTGTACATAGTACGAAGCCAAAATATCAGAGGAAAGAAACCAAGAAAGGATTCAATGCAGTGAAGAAGAAAGTAGAGAAATATGAGGTTATTAGAATATGGCCAAAGAAAAACCAATACCCAGAAATGGTGTCGGCAGAAGCTGCCAAGGCTGGCAGGCATGGACAAGCATTTCCTTCACAATCAAGGTCCAGATCAACCAACAGTTCAGAGAAGGAGAAATTAGCCCCAAACATGTCTAAGTTAGGCAGGTCTAAGTCAAAAATGCCCCCTTCCTTATCAGACTCAGATGTAGAGAACTTATTGTCAATTGATTCATCCAAGTTCACTGCTGCATCAGAAACATCAAAGTCTAGCCTTCCCTTCACACAATCCCTCTTGCACATCCTCTTCAAGGTTGTCTTAACTGGAGAGGAAGAAGAGATACACTGATTCCTCTCCATGGTGTAGTACGTCATGTTTTTAAATGGGCTCACTGTAACCCTCTCTGATGTGATCACCTTGCAGTTGGTAGGAGTGACTTGTTGAGGAGTATTGTTATTACTGCTGTGAGCATTCGCACAAATGCCCCTTGGAGATGCAGATTTGTCAGTGTGAGAGGAAAATGCTTGTGGTGGTGTATTGGGATTAGATGAACTAGTTGGAGGGAATGGTATGGGCTGATTGAACAAACTCTTAGCAACACCGGATGCTTGAACTAGTGAACCAGTGGGCGTGCCGTTTTGTGCTGATGACTCAATCACAGGAGAGGGCTGAACATTTGCTTGAGTAGTGGCAGCATTATCACATTGTTTGGATGTACCTGAAGATAAAATGAGTTAGAAAAACATCAATTTCTGAGAATAAAAAATGTGCAAGAACATAAATTAGGCACATGGATTTTTTTTTACCTTTACTTGGTATTTTCCTTGAAGCTAACTTGCTGCGAGACTTTCTAGCATCTGGAACAGATTCTGCAACAGCATTCGACCCCATTCGCTTTCTTGTTGATGGGTGCTTATTGATTGAGGACAGATTGCTATACTCCATGGTGGTATTCAAGGGTGTCGAGACTGGAAAGCCAGGTGACTTGTACATGGGACAGCCTAGAAAGAGAACATCAATAAAATACTTTCAATAAATAAATTCCATTTTTCTGAATGTTTGCCTAAAGATTGTCTTCATACATGGGAAGAAGATGCAAGGAAATCCCTAAGATGGAAAATCCTGGAACTATCAGAGTAAGTTTTTCCCTTTACTTGCAATGTTTTGGAGAAGGGAACTTCTATTGTATATTGATCGTAATACTACTGAAAACAGACAGCCTCCAAAAAAATCATTCTAAAGCACGCCATTCACGAATGCAAGGAACATCTGATAAGGAGAATGATCAACTAATCCAAACTCAGAACTCACTCATAAATACTAAACACCATGGTCTGGGGAGATGGCTTCATAGGAGACAATGGTGAGAATATATAACATTGAAAGTAACGTTATTATATTGATTGATGACTATTCAACAACTGTTTATGTATTATCAAAGGTTTGTCATAATTTAGCAAGTTTCAAATCAAGTAGCCTATTCCCAATATTATAATAACAACAAAAAAGGAATCCATCAATGCATTAGCCCCTAATACGTGGTTCGCTTCCTTCTGAGAATCCCTAGTTTATGCACTGACTTCTCCATGATATTACAAGATCCTAGTAAACTAACAAACCCTTTTATAACCCACAGTAATCTAAGAAAAAATACTTTTTTTAGTAGAGAAAAAATAATATAACTTAATTCTTAGCCAATTAAATATGAAATGATAAAATTGGATAAGAAGAGATAAAGAAAAAAAAACTTAAGTTAGCAAGCAAACCTAAATCAAAGTTTAAGGTTTAGATAACTTGTTAAACATGTGGTATAGATTATGAGATTGGGATAATTCGATAGAAAAAAAAACAAAAAAAATCATAAAGCCTATTTAAAAAAAATATTAAATGATGAAATCAAAAGAAAAAATAAGTAAAAGAAAGAAAGAAAGAAAAGAAATAGATGATGCTCAATCTCCTACCAATCAAATGTCAATTCTCGTGAACTTTTCAAGGTCATAACCTAGATTATTAGAATAGAAGTATCATATTCAAAAAAATCATGATACTCAATCCTCAACCAATTAAATATTGAAAGATGAGGTTGAAGAAAAAAATCAATTATACAAAAAGATCTAAAACTAAAAATAAATTATAGGATGACTATAATTTTTTTATTAAAGAATAAAATTTAAAAAAAATCAATTTAATAAAAAGACTCAAAATAACAATTAAAAAAATGAGGATCAACTTAAAAAAAAATCACAAATCAAAATTGAATGATAAAATTAAAAATAAATAAAAAGTTTACATAAAGACTATGAATAAAAATTAAAAATTAAAATAATAAAAATTAAAGTTGAAAAACCAATAATGAAAAGGACAACTCCTAAATTTTAGATGATTATCATAAATTTCAAGAAAACAAGACACAAAAATAGAAAAAAAAAAACATTACTAGTGATAAATTATCTCATCATCATCACCGACGTAACCATCCCATTAGAAAAAAGATATCATGATGACACAAAAAAAAAAATTTGTTGAGAGATGCTACATATATTTTACATGTATTTCAAATATTAACCATCTTTTTGTTTAATAATTATACTATTATAGCAAATATCAAGGTTATTAATGTTGTTGAGAGAAAAAAATAATAATTACAGTACTATAGCAAATAGCAAAATATTTTTTTTTAATCTTCTAGTTTAATCTAATAGTAACATAATTAAATTTTGTGTCTCAAAAATCTCTACTAATTAACTGATTTAAACTAGCCCTTTCACTTAAAAAAATGGAAATGTTAACCTTTCCATTCATCTACGTTATCCATATATGTTAGGTTGACTTTACATCTTAATTGAGATATGGACATATGTAATTAACAATGTTAATAAAAACATGAAAATAATATATATATATATATAAGTAATTAATTAATTAATTTTTCCTAAAAAGATAAATAATAAATAATTATATATATAAGCTTCCAACTGTTATGTCAACTATTGATTTAAGTTTGTTATCCAATTATGTGTCAATTAGTAGTTGATAATTTGAGAGTTATCCTTCCATTGCAGAAGATTTGTGTAATATTTTTTGGTAGTTGAGTTACCTCCAAATTTAAATAATTAAGGTTTGTTTATGAATATATTTGGAAAAAAAAGGATGAATATTAGATAGTTTTAAATTAGATAATATAGTTTTAAAAATATTATGTTAGTTTCAAATCACATGTCACTTAGTTTGTTAAATATATATAGAGCATAAAATGAAAAAATCATGAGAAACAATAAAAACTTTTAGTTATTTTTTAAAATATTAGTCATAAATAAAATTAATTGATTTGTAACTTTATATATTGATGTGTATTGGTGAAGTTCTGTCAATTCTTTTTAGGATATAATAATAATGTTACTCCCAATTTTATACTTTGATTTGTTTAAATGAAAAAAAAAGAGTTATTAGTAAGAAATATAGATAAGAGTGTTGTTGATTCTTCTAACAAAACTTCTAATAATCATGAGTTGCTAGGTATCAACCATAACAAGTTACTAAGGCACAAGCATCCTCTTTCAGTATAGGCTCATCAAGTGTAAAATTACCTCACAAAAAGGATGTTTTTTTTTAGCAATATATATACATTGAGAAATACATTGCTTAATGAAAGTCTGACCACAACATTTAAGTTTGTCTTCTTTTCCTGCATGATTAAAAAATAAATAGCAAATGATATTTTTTAATAATTAATTTTAATGGATAAAATGGAATTTTAAATATACAAATATGAAGGTTACTTGCAGGACAACATCGATGATGAAATCATCGATGAAAGTTCCTTTATTTCAATGGAGTCAAATTAGAAGCTTATGGTTGATGCATGATTTGAAAAGTTCAAGGTTAGTATATATAAAAATAATTTATTATTATTTAATTTGGTCAATTTTTTAATAATAATAAAATAATTATTTTATAAAATTAACATGTAAGAAAAATTTGTAAAGAGGCTAACAACGTTATTGGTAGGAGAGTATGGGAGAATCACAATGCCATTAGTAGGACATTGAATTCAAATTGTGATATTTTTTTAAGGTTTAAATTTTATTTTTTATTATCTTAACTAATAATTTATTTCTACATATCAGATTGCATGATTTCAAGTATGAGGTGCAAAACAATTCAAAGAAATATACAAAAAAACGAGGTCTTTTAGGTTAAGATGATGTAGTCCTATAGAGGGATTTTAGACCTCCATACATCTTAGAGGCTATTGAATATGCTTATATTTGGCATGTGATGTATAAGCATTTCATGTGGCAGTCGCAGTCCAACATACAGAACCAAAACAAAGAGATTCGTGTTGCAGTTACCATGTAAACCGGTGAATCCATTATATTTGTTTCACATGTAGAACAAATAATAAAATTTTGCTATATATATATATATTAAATTGTTGTATTGTAAGAAAATGTTTAACTAGTAGTAGCTTTCTTTTGTAGGCTACGATTTTTAGACACGATCCAAGACCAATAAAGCTTTTTGTTGAAATTCATATGTAAAATGAGAACCATTGAAAAAGGATGTAGCAACTTGTAGATAACTAAGTTGAGAAGTTCTTGGTAAGTTAGATTTTAATAATTTATCCTTTTAAGTTATTATTTTTCTAAATTTGCCGACATGTTTCTTTTCTAGGAAATATATAACGCTTGATTAAGGAAGAAATACGAGGATGATCCTTTAACTTATCTGGATTTGTGGCTGGAAGTTGGATCGCTTAGTTGACGTAATATAAATTGGGTTTACAATATGTCAAACATTATAACTAAGGATATACGAACTGACCGTAGTATATTGACTGTTGATTTCACATAATTAGGTTCAAGCCAATAATTTTTGGTTATCTAGGTGATTATATAAGAACAAGCTGAATCTTAAACGACTCAAATTAGTGCTAAGATGACCAGCTTGAGGGATAAAATGAATGTTTTTAAGTAGTTGTTGTCAATCCTCACTATTACACGTGGTCTGCTTCATCCCCCACCTGATTCTAATATAGATTCATCTTCTCCTTCAGCTTTTGTGCACTAGATAAATTGTATTTAATAATATTTTTTAAAGTTAATAATAAAATTTTGGTTTTTTATTTTAGTTTTATTCTTTTTTTTTAATTTTTCCTTTATTTTATTTTATTTTATTATAAAAAAATATTAAATACAATATTGATAAAATTACTAACAAAGTGACCGACAAACTAAGTCCCTCAAAAAATCCCAAAGAGGTAGAAAAAAATTATAAGACTTTTCCATTGACAATTACAAACAGAATTATTGATGGACTAAGTTCATAGGAAAGTTCCAGAGAATTCAAAAAAAAAAAAAATATAGGACTTTCCACTAATAATATTTAAATCTTATATTACAAGTAAAAAAAATATTTTAAAAAATAATTTCTACCCCATTCTTGAACACTAAATAAGCTTTACATGGGTCTAGGAAATCAAAGCAAGCAACACACTTTGAAGCTTTGAATAGTCATTTTTTGTTTCTAAAAAATATTTATTTATAGAAGAAAATATTTTTCCTAGGATCAATAGTCAATTCTTTTAAGGATCGGAATTTTAAAGATTTACAATAATAGAGGAGGAGGAATCATCCCCTCTTTGAGCAACTCTCAACCTCACTCTATTTCTCTCCTTTTGTGCTGCAATGGCAGCCCACTCTCTCCTACATTTCTCACCTCTTTGGCTCTACTTCCTCTCTCATTTTGCTCTCTCATATATGCCTCTATTTATAGGCATTCATGGAAGCTCTTCTTGGTTTGTTGTCAACATTGGTGGCTACCAACTCTAGCTCATTCAACAATGGTGGCCACCAACTCTATCTCATTCAACAATGGTGGCTACCAATAGTCAATGGTAAATGGTTGGTGCCTTACATGAAATGGCAACCAACCTAACAATCACCCCCTTTGCCATTCATGTGGGGCAATTGTCCTTTTGCTTCTTCAACACAAGCTTGCATCTTGCAGCTCTTCCAAGCTTTCCATTCTGAGAGCATCTTTGACCAAGTTTATAGGTACTCGCCAAACCTTTCAATCATCAAAGTAACCAAAGCACACCTTTACACAAAAGGATCACTATAACCAGATGGTCTGCCACATCACATCTGAATAGTGTTAACGCTTGTCTCTGGAACAACATTCCCCTTCAACCATGCTCGGTCCGAAATGATTCATCAAGCCTCACATCAAGGCTTACAACACCCCCTCAAACGGATATTTCAAGTGCGACAGTCATTATCTGAGTATCTTAATATGATCACAAGCTCACCACTCTTCCAAGAGTCTACTCATCCAGGAGTTGCGCCTGCCCTCTGTTTCACCCTAGGAACCACGTCTTACTTCTTCATGAGTCTCTCACTCTTAGTCTCAAGAGTCTAGGTAGCTTTCCACCTTTAACTATGGGAGCAGCCCATAAA